GAGGGAGGGAGCCGTGGGATGGAGCGGGCTGGGGGTGAAGGTGCTCTGGGGCTGCTTTGCTGAGGGTAGCGTCTCTCCGGGTTCTGCTTGTAGGCTGTCCTTGCGGTCCGGAGTCTGCCCGTCCACGGAGTCCGTTCGAATGGCCTCCTGGAAGGTGAGGAGAGAGAGATGGGGACAGAGCCTGGGGATCTGTGGGGCTGAAACACGGCACGTGGCAGAACGGTTGGTGGGTCTGACTCCCCCCGCACCACCCCATCCCTGCCCCATCGTGCCAGCCCCCGTCAGACTCTCCTCTGCAAGAGTTTTGCTCCCCAGCAGACCCAGAGGCTTCGTGTACAGGGCTTGGACCTGCTGGGTCTTTCTGCACAGTCTTGGTTGTGCTCTAGCACCAAATCCCGAGTCTGTGCGACCTGTCTAAAGTGAGACGGCGCAGGGCTGGCTGCAGGCTTCCACAGCACTGGTAAAACTGGACTGGGCACCTTCTCGCTGTGCTTTCGCTATTCCTTCATAGAATGGTACAGCCACCAAGATGAGAGGAGGTAAAAAGAGCGTCCCCTGCGTGCCACTTGCTGAGGTTGGAGTATATTCACATTTATGGCACCAGAAACATTTTGTTCTAAAAAGGGGAATTCCACTTTCAGCTCCGCTTTTTAAAAACAAAACCCAAGAGGGGACTGGAAAAGAAGGGAATGATCCAGGTGGTTATGAGGGAGTTTACCTCGGCAGGCTCCTGGCCTCTCACCTGTCTGCACAGCAGCTTGTTGAGAGAGGGAGATCGAGGCGTGACGTGGGGGGGATGGATCTTCCAGTGGTGGCGGCCGTCATGGTGCGGAGAGCGGACGGCCAGCTGGAAGGACTCCGTTGGGACCCTCAGAGAGGAACACGTTCCCACGGGCTGGGAGCGGATGGAGGTGATGGACCCTGGAAACAGAGGGAGAACAGTCACCACCAGCGCTGGTGTGGGGCTGGGAAGCTTTGGGGCAGAGCCAGTGCTCCCAGACTCCAGGAGGGGAAAGGAAAAGGCTGTCTGGTCTCGCTGACATCCCAAACCTCAGCATAAGCCTTGGGCAGTGCAGGATTAAAAACCAGGTGTCCCTTGTCCTCTCTCCTGCCTTTAAATACGACATTCCTCCCCAGCAGTGGCAGGTGGGTTACAGATGAAGTCACCTTTGCAGTTCAGCATGGTTCTGCCTGCTCTGAGATATTGACAGTTACAAACTTTACGCTCACAGCTTCTATTTCTGTTCCAGTAACAGGAATCTCTTGCAGCTGCTGCAGCACCCAATTGGGGAGGGTGGTGCCCACCAGGACCACGTGGCAGCAAACGAAGGGCAGGAGGTGGAGATGCATTCAAAACCCGGCCGTTGCTGCTCTCCCGGCAGCATTGCCCTGGGTGGGTTTGTAAAAGGATGCTGCCTGCCAGGAGATGCTGGTGGCTGGGACAGGCTGGGAACCTTGCGCTGCTCTGCCACGTGGAGGCACGAGCAGCACTGCTCAGCTCCTCCCAGAGCTGACGGGTCCAGCCTAAAGCCTCGCACGGCCAGCGGGCAGCCTGCCACCAACCTCTCCGGGAGGACACAGCGCTGGCACGCACAGGGCAGGGTTCCCACTCACCGCAGCCCAGACACGACCACCATGGCCCGTCCATGAAGCAGGCTTTGGCTGAGCGTGGTCTGATGAGCAGCGTGCAGAGTGCTCCAAGTGTTTTGACAGTCCCCCAGCTCACGGGCCAGGCAGGAATCTCTCTTCCTGAAGGCTCCCAGTCCCCTGGCTGAGTCTAAAGGCAATCCCTCCTCCCCAGCCTCTCTGTGGTGCTGCTTCACTGCAATTCTACGTTGTTTGAAAGATGTTTTGCTTTTTTTAAAAATTTTTTTTCTGGCTGCAGGATTTATTGTCCTCATTAGCTTGAAACCCAGAGTCTGTTTCGACATTGCTGCTCCGTGTTAAAAACACAGCTATCCATCACTTCAAGAGATCTCACCCAGAGGTCGGGAACTCGAACCTCTGACAAAAGCCATCCAGACAGATTGCAGTTGCATTGCAGAAAGAGATTTGTAGTTAGGAAGAAAGAAAAGTCAGTGTTTGATCATTTTTCTTTTGGAGCTCTTCTCCACAACACCACAGAAGGCAGAGCAGTGAGCTTCCCACCCCCCGGGCCACCCCGCTTCTCCCCAGTCCTTTCTGGGCTCTCCTACAGCCGGTCTTTCAGCCCGAGTCTGTGCCGTTCGTGTGCTAATCCAGGCTTTACAGAATGTTTTTTATGGTGCACAAAAACTATGTCATAAAATCTGCCACAAACACAGTCATAAAATCAAAACCCTGTGCTCTCCTCCCCATCCTTAGCGGGAATTTCCTTCGGTTGGAAGCTTTCCATCTAGCTCTCGTATAGGAAACAAAACCAGACTGCATGCTCAGGAACACTGGATATCTCTGGATTCGTACATTTTTCTCTTGCTTTCCTAGTAAATCAGAAAACTGCATCTAAGACCAAAATAACACGAGACCTGGTCATCTCACAATATTTTCACTGTGTAGACACCAAAGTATCGGGAGAAGACCAGACATCCGTAGCTGATATTGAATAGTCCATGAAAGCATAACTATGAGTCTATTTGCTTAGTTCACTTGCACATAACTCATGGGACTGTGAGTAAACCAGAATTTGGGGTGCTCAGAAGCAGCACAGCTCTGGGTGATGCTGGGTGGATGCATCTACCAGAGCAGGTAAAAAGTAAGCCTCTGTCATATCCATCGCTTGAGTGCTCTTGGAGAAAAATTTGGGAAACATGAGAAAATACTTGGTCCGTTTTACCCACCCCGGCCAACATCCCAGCAGTTTATACTGGTATAAATCCTGATTTACACCCACTACAGGGATGAAAACCATCCCCAGTAGTCCAGCCATGAAACTCAACCCCTGTTTTCTTTGCTCAGCAAAGAATTTGCAGGTGAAATAATAATAAATATTGAGCAGAGAACATTAACTGGTATCCAGAGAGTTTGAACAAATAGAGAGTTACTTCACGCAAGGAAACCAGCGCAGATCCTGCCAGCCCCAGCAGGGTTTGCAAATCCACCGCCCATCTGCCCAAGCAGCTCTTGCATTTCAAACAAGGCTGCACCCACGGAAACCAGGCTGGGAAGTTCTTGGGAGCCACTGGAGAAGCACGCCTGCTTTCAGGGAGGCAGATACTTGCCTTCTTATTGATTTCCCCTTCAAACCAACTCGCACAAAAAAAGAGAGAAAAAGGCGTTTAGGGGAAATGTGTCTGGAGGCAGCTGGGTGAATGTACGCTCAGAGGCTCTGCGCAGCTCGTGGTGCCCTCGCTGCAGGGTCTCTCCGCGAGATTCCTGATGAGGCCAAGGCACTGGAGAGTGGTTTCCAATCTTTATGCTCCCAAAGACACCCCTGCATCCCTGAACTCAATGTACCCTGCTAAAGATACTGCTCGGAGGCTGGAGACTGCCTGAAACCAGAGCTGTAAAGGAGCTCTCTTAGGCAGCAATACCCACCCCGGCTTTTATTCACGTTGATTTTATTGATCCGCAGTCATGATGTCAGGGCTGATGATTTCAGAACTGCGCAGCTCGAACCCTTTCCTCAGCTAACAGCCTGTCCTCTACGCCTCTGACATTCCTTGGGAGCCCCTTCTCCCCAGTCAAACACCCCAAATGCCAGCTTTCCCCTGAGAAAACGCAGTGACGTGATGAAAATAGGGAATTGTGCAGCGTGTGGGGAACTGCAGCCCTGCTGACGGCGTCGAATTGAAGCCAGCCAGCCCTGGCTCAGCCCACCCTCGGCATGGGCTGCCCACTCCCCATCTGACCACCACGCGTACCTGCTGCCCCACGGTTCTGGCTGGGAGGAGGACGGGAAAGCTCCGCGAGCCGTACCTCTTTGGGATTTGCAGGGATATGTCTCCATCTCCACCTCGTGGAGGGGGAAAGGGGCTTTTGCTGGCATCACCGGCCGGAACATGTAGCTGTCGTTGGGCAAGGAGTGCATCCGGGACACGGAGATCTTGCGGACCATCAGCAGGTTTTGGGAATCCTGTGGCCTGAGAGAGGCTGCGGCGCCCTGCAAGGCAAGGAGACAGGGAGATGGGGTCATTCAGCATCACGGTGGGGAATTTACAGCCACTCCTCATCTGCTTTTTGGTTTAAAACCTCGTGCAGATGTTCCTCTTGGCATCTTACAGAGAGCCTGCAGCCTTGGTGACTGCAATGGGATACCAACGCTGTGCCGCGAGGAAAGGGCTCAGGTTGCAGCTGGAGTAAAACGAGGTATCAACGACCCACCACTAAGCCGACTCTTGGACACTGCAGAGAAAAGGTAAAGTCCAGGAAAATGGGGCCCACCCTCTAAACGCACGAGAAAGCCAGCATTGCTCACACTGATCTCCTCTGATTTTCCCAGCGATGCTTTCAGCCCACCCTGCTTGGTGATGCTTGGGGACAGATGGGCAAAACTGGCCAGTCCTTGGCCACACTGACCGAGGGTACCAGGTGTTTCTGGAAATTCATGTATTATCTCCCCAAAACACACGTACAGGCAGACATTTACACACACACATTAACACCAGTGCAAACCCCGCAGCCTCGATCCTACAACACGGAGCGTTTGGGGCACCGCTGGCCCCAGAAGAAGACAGCCGCGTGGCAGGAGGCAGGGGAAGGAGAAGACGTCGTGGCAGCATGTACGTGGGTGTGGAGCCTGTTCAGGGGTAGAAAAGGGATTTCTCTGTGTTTGCTCTCGCTGCGAAACAGGTCTGGTGGGAAGTGTCCAGACAGAGCATGTCCCAAACCTTAAACCTGACCTCTCACCGCTGCTCTGAGGCTCTCCTCACTTCAGGCACCTTACAGCAAATCATCCCAGGGTCTTAGGAGGCTTTAGGGACTCAAACGATGTCTCTGCGGTGCTGATGGTGCTGCAAGAGGTGATGCCATGACTTGGCCAAATGTTGGGGGAACGGGAGCGCTTGGAACAGGACCTGAAACCTGGCTCCTGGCCCCGAGGTTTTGGTCCTAGACACATTCCCCTCCCAATTTACCATGTTATCTAAAGCACGACTAATCACTCTGGTTTTCCTTTAACGTCAGCCTCCCAGTGACTGATTGAAAACATTTTCCCAGCTGCATGTCTTAAATTAAATGTATTTTGCTTTGCTCTGCCAGGCTGTTTTCCCTCTCTGCTAGCAAAATCTGGGCCTGAGAACCCTCGCTGGATACTTTGGAGGTCACCAAGGATCTGGTTAAATGTTGTTTTTTTTTTTCCATACATTTCTGGCTGACAAATTTATTTCCTTTGATCCCTAAAGAGACACATCCCCAGACAAATTACTCAATGCTTTTACCCTGTTGATCTTGGCTGAGAAATGGGGGGATCAGCAGCAGTTATTTGCAGGTAGTTGGCATCCAGTGCGGACGGCTGCCTTGCCCAGCAGCCTCCGGGTGCAGCCCAGGTCTCTCGTCTGATGGATTAATACATCTGCAGCGCGGCTGTGCCAGCTGGCCTCTGGCCATTACGGCTAACAAGCCATGGGCATCCCCCCACCACCTGAGCTGAAGGCAGGCGGGCAATTCTTAACACCCTGGTGCCATGCAGAGAACAAAAGGTCTTGTTCTGCTTTCTCAGGAGTCTAACAGAAGGATCGGAGTATTTGTCTATTAAATCTCAGTTCGTCTGTGCAGCATCTTGTATCTCCTCTGTCTGGGACAAATGAAGAGAAATCTCCTCTTGACAGAAAAAAATGCCATTTTTTAAGGTTTCAGCTATTGAAACCCAATTGACTTAGGGATGTGGGCAAATTTCAAATGGCTCCAAAGCCACTGTAGTAAGTAGCTGAAATATGAAACATGGGCAGGAGGCTTGTTGGCTCACACCTGGTGAGCTGCTCGCTCTCGGCAGCTAGGAAGGTTTGGAGACACCGCCACGGGCACTGCTGCTCCTCCTCTGTGGTGGGAAACACCCAATGCACTCGGGAGCCTGATCCCATGCCCTGGACATCAACGTGGCTCCTTCAAAACCCATGAAAGCCCAACCTGGACCCGTGCTGCTGGGACTGCATACGGTGAACCCTGCCTCTGGGCACCCTGAGGGGTTGGGAGCATCCCAGGCATCTCACAGAGATGTGCAAGGTGGGAATGTCCTCGCCGTGGGGTCCCTCTCAGGCCAAGAAGAAAGGCAATAAATTGACCCTAGACAGCTCAGAGGCTCAACTGAGCATCTTCAGTCAATGAGCGCAACTCACTCCTCTTGTGTCTGGGAATGAATACTCTGTCCTAGCTCTGGTTTTGCTCTGGTGCAGAGGGAGCTTGAGAATAATCCTGCAAATACCTCCCCAGGACATGACCCTTCCTGGGTGATTAAGCGGCCAGAAGACACTCTATAAGCAAAGGTGACTGGCAGGATGCTCTGGAAGAGGGAACACTGTAACTTCTCAGAAGCCTGGAGCCGAGAGCCTGCAAACAAGCTGTGGGCAGAATTCCCAGAGGAAGGGCTCCTCCGGTCCTCTCTGAAGGTGTGTGTCTCCAGCACTGCGAGGGAGCACAGCCCCTTCCCGCAGCCCTGTGGTGGGGAAGGCAGGGGCAGAACACGGGCAGGAGCTAGCTCCCTGCCTCTGCCTGCCAGCTCTGGTCCCCTGCACAGGCCAGCTCTGGTGGCATCCACGGTCATGCCGTTGGTCCCTGTAGAGGTGACAAGCTCTCAGCTCTGCCAGCAGAAACCCAGGACCCCCTGCAGTTGCATTTACAAAGTCCCAAATTTTGCCTGTCCCTGCGAGACGCCTTCCCCGTGATGTCCCTTTGAGCCTCTGCAGCCCCCAGGTGTCCAAGCTAACAGCCCCCCTGCAGAGCTATGGACTTCCTTGAGGATTAGACCTTCATAGCACTCATCTTGCACAGGGAAAACCACTTAAACTTAATCTGAGCCCAGAATTTGCTCAGAGATGCTGTGAGATACTTGCCACTAGAAGGTGCCTCGATAGTCATGACAGGGGCCAGCTAATACAGGGGAAAATGGCCCAAGTCTAAAGCAGATTACTTCTGGGTGGCCACTGCAAGCTCTCTGATGACAGCAGATGTGCTCCCCATTGCAGCATGCGCATCGTCATCACTGACTGTGGCTCGCACGTTCCTGTGCCCGCCGGAGGACATCTGGAGCTCCTCCGTGGTGCAACCAGGAGGGGCTGAGCAGGGGGGGCTACAGCCCTTCTGGTCTGCTGGGGGGGTCTTCTCAGAGCAGCTCCTGAATCCACAGCTCCAGTGCTTGCTGAAAGCCCAACGTGTTGATCTACTTGTACCTTTGTTTCCTCAATACTGTATCGCAAACATGTTCTGATGGTACCGGTAAGAAAACCAAACTGGGCTGTGTTTATCCACGAAGGACTCCGCCTGCCCCCAGCTCTCGATATATCATTTGAAGACAGACTGCTCACACATCTCATATCAAATGCGAGAGTTTTTTTAGCTAAAAAAAGTATTTCGAGGCTGCTGGCAGTCGGCTGGGACACATTTCTTGCCCAGCTCCTGCACGTGCAAAGGCAGTACGACGGACAGAGGATGGAAGCGACTGCTGTGGCTGTGAAACGACAGGTTCAGGACAGTTCAGACACCACTGTGAGCTGCACAGCACCAAAGCACAACGCCACAACGCAGAAGCAACGGCGCAGCATCATTCACCTCAGCCTCGTGGCCTGGGGTGCTGTGGGAAGGTGGCAGGACATGGTGGGAAACAGAGCAGAAGGACGGGGTTTCCATCATGGGAGTCTCTGCTCCCTCCAGCGCGTCTGAGTCTGGGATGGCTAAAGACACGCTCTCACAGCTCAGCGCCTCCTTCAAATTGGGGAGATAAAAAGCATCAGTAGCAGAGCAAGGCTAGGTCTCAACGCTTGAAGATGTCTGCCCCGTGGCATTTCCTAATTGCCCCATTCATCCAGAGCAGGAAAGAAGAGAAAAGGAAATGGTTTGTAAATCCTCCTCTGCATTCGAGCAATCTCATCCACAGGGGGATCTGTGGCCAGCTCCCTGCTCCCGCTGGAGTCTCTCTGAGGAGCATCACCTCTCACTGCGAGGTCTCTAGGGCTATGAGGAGGCTCTGTGTGGCTCCTGATGTACTTGGGAGGTGTGGGAATATGAGGAAAACCCAAGGAGAATGAACTCAGTTTGCAATCACAGCCATGTGAAAGGATGTGCCTTCGCTTCCCCCAAAGAGAAAAGCAACCTGGTTGTTTATGGTGCGTATTCTTGCAGAAATGTCTGTTAGGAACTACATTCAAATAGCGAATTCCCCATAGCCGTGTAACTAAATTTCTTTTTACTTGACTTAATAGAGTCTGATAGATTTTACAAAAATCTAATTTAATGTAATTTAATCTCAAATCCCCCATTGATTTTGCGGTAGATTTATTTGCTATCATGGTGACAAAGCAATTTCATATTCACTCTTAATCATTTGCTGCTGACATGGGATGAGACAATTATCTCATGCCCTCCTTCCCTGCCCTGACTTCTGATTGCCCAATTTTTCTAGAGGACTGATAGAAATCAGAGAGCAGGCAGTGTCTGGAGAATCAGTCCAGGAACCTCCAGCTTCTTGCCGAGGGGCTGTGACAATTCCCAGGGTCCAAGCAGCCGCGCCCTAAGCAGAGCGCGAGCTGACACCAGTGCCAGACGTGCCCCCCTGAGCTGCACACTGGGATTTGCTTGAGGCTCCTCTGGAAATCCCCCTGTGGGATTAGAAAGAACCTGAGCAGTATTTCTGTGTCCGTGTGAAGGGAATTTACGCCACCCTATGCTGCAGTGTCAGGGCTGACAGTGCCAGCATCCCCAGGGGTTTATGCGATTGCTCCCTGGTGCCTGCGCTAAAATGCCAAGGACAGGGACATGAGGCTATCATGCTTCTGAACTTAAAATTCACAGCCTTTGAATGAACTGGAAATATCAAGAGGTGGACATTCAGCCCTCCCCCAGAACAACGGTCAGGACAGCCTTAGCCCTGGGGAACGTGTTTCAAACAGCCTTCCACCGCAGGGAGCCCTCCTGAGATGACTCGAGATGTGGCGGTGACATCTCTGCCACAGCGGGACCCAGGAAAGCTGCCTTCCTCCCACGCTGTCTTGTCTCCTGCCTCTCTGTGTCACTCGGGATGTGACTGCCTGATGATCAGACA